GAAATACGTGGTACTATATGTAACTTTACCACTGACCTGACAAAGGTCAGATGCATATAATCCCAATTAATTGCAGCTTAAAGTGTTAACAAATTAAAGTTACCTGTGTCCGATGATCGTAGCACATATTTGTACATTATACAGCGATACGAAATATGCGCGACCACAGCGGCCTAAGTTGGCCTCAGATGTCACAAATTGACACAAAAAGAAAACAAGTGCAAATAAACAGCTTAGGCGATGATCGCCGCAGCCCGCCTCGTTCAGTATTGCAGCTACCGGTACGCGTACTGTGTGCCATGCATTCTCATACCAACCTCATCGGCTTTAGTTGACCTCAGATGCCACAAGTCGATCTAAAAAGCAAGTGTGAATGAACTGCTCACACGGTGATGACTGCATCGGGTTTGCTCCGCCATCCCATCGTGTTAAGTACTGCAGCTACCGGCAGTGGGACTGTATCGCATGCAATGCAATGGACATTTCAACTGTGCGGATGCTTGTTGGCCTGAGAGGCCACTCAATTGACCCTGAGTGACCTCTCAGGTCAACAAGCTCGGCACATGTTGCTTGACTCCTTTTGTGACTTGGGATCACTCAGCTACACTCAGCTAATCACACTAATCCAGCTAATCCAAGTAGACACTCAGCTAATCCAAGTAAAAAGACTTGACCTTTACAGACCTGCAAGAAAGCAGGGAATACCTTGGTACTTGAAAACTGCATTGTGTTTCTAAATGTGGAAAACGATTTTGCGGAACATTAAGTCTCATTTCCGATATGACCCCATAATGCCATTATCGTAGCCTGGGGTAACCTATTCACCTGGCCCAAACAAAAAGGATGTCTTAAGATCGCATGTAAGTGTGGCTACAGCGACACAGTCACTTACGGTTGAAGTCGCCTGCACAAGCACGATGGCATGCTGCTCACGCCTCGGCGGCCCTGAGTCCTACCGCCCGCCGCCGAAGACCCGAGCTCTGCTCCCGCCGCGGCGGACCACAGCGGTCCTGCCCTGTCCTGTCCTGTGAGTCCTGCCGCCCGCCGCGGCGGACCTGAGTCCAGCCGCCCACCGCGGCCGACCTGGGTCCAGCAGCCCACCGCGGCGGACCTGAGTCCAGCCGCCCACCGCGGTCGACCTCGGTCCAGCAGCCCACCGCGGCGGACCTGAGTCCTGCCGCCCGCCGCGGCGGACCTGAGTCCAGCAGCCCACCGCGGCGGACCTGAGTCCTGCCGCCCGCCGCGACGGACCTGAGTCCAGCAGCCCACCGCGATGGACCTGAGTCCAGCAGCCCACCGCGATGGACCTGAGTCCAGCAGCCCACCGCGGCGGACCTGAGTCCTGCCGCCCGCCGCGGCGGACCTGAGTCCTGCCGCCCGCCGCGGCGGACCTGAGTCCTGCCGCCCGCCGCGGCGGACCTGAGTCCAGCAGCTCACCGCGGCGGACCTGAGTCCAGCAGCTCACCGCGGCGGACCTGAGTCCAGCAGCTCACCTCGACGGACCTGAGCTCTGCCGTCTGCCGCGGCGGGGCCGGCACCCACCAGGCCCGGGAAACTTGCACTTTATACATTCCATAACTGGTTATCTGATATATATCATAAAACCTAACTAAGCTTGAACAGCTGCATGGAGCAAAAGGCATGATGTTAATTGTATTGCCCTCTTAATGTCTCACCCTCTCTACGCTCAATTGCACAAAGAGGCTAGCTTCTCTGTGCGCCTAGATACGTGCGATGTGCGGCCGCCGTTCGTTGCTTGTAGTGTGAAATTACTATTACTAGTGAAATTACTGGTGAACTACATACCCGAAATGAGTTTGAACGTCAGCTGCATGTTTGTATTTGAATTTGTTCGCGGGGCATCAGCGGTCATTTTGGGGTCAAAGATGTTGATTACCCTCTGGTAAAAGAGCCGGACACGACTTTTTCGTAGAGCCAGCACAATGGCTGGCTGACGATAGTACCCGACGTAGTTCTTTTCAGTCACGTGAATGATCTGTGTACTCAAGTCATTAAACGAACTGGATCGTTTGGCATTGATAATGATGGATGGAAGCTTATAGGTTTTGCCGTGCACTTCAAAAGCTTTAACCAGGTGTGGTATATGTGTGGATATATTGGCATATGTTTAAATATTGCAGTCCATTTTAGTCAACACGCCTACCTGAGGAATATAAACATCGCCGTAACTGGATGTTTTCCCTTCATCAAACAGCTGGAAGCGAAATGAAACTAGACCACAAGGGCCTCAAAGTTCTAACCGTAGCATGCAAGCCTGACTTTTGGACAATGACATCGGTTCCTAGCACTTAAACGTGCAACGTGCAACCTTATTTGAAATTGTAAGCGACGCCGTTTATCAACAGTAGTGCGTACGGAGTGCTTCAGTGGTGCGTTCGGGTAGGAGGCAGGGCCTGTTCCGCGCACTGGTACCGCCGCGGAGGCTAGCTTTTCAGCCGCGGTGACACAACAGCCTTGTGCTGTAGGAGTTGAACTCAGCGGATCTTTGTGGAGACACTGCACAGCGTCAATTGCACACCAGAACGCCGCAGAGCCAGGAGACCCCACCAACCCTCTCATAGATCCGTGCTCACGCTGCGGTGGTGGACGGCTCAACTTCGCCGGGGTACGAAAGTCTCGCCAGCTATTGTATGTGTCTTCCAATGGTGGCAGCTGTCTTCCAATGGTGGCAGCCGTCTTCCAACGGTGGCAGCCGTCTTCCAACGGTGGCAGCCGTCTTCCAATGGTGGCAGCTGTCTTCCAGTGGTAGCAGCTGTCTTCCAACGGTGGCAGCTGCTTCCAATGGTGACAGCTGTCTTCCAATGGTGGCAGCCGTCTTCTAATGGTGGCAGCCGTCTTCCAATGGTGGCAGCGCACTGGCCTCTGCGGCTTCATGCGAGTGCCGACATCAACGACGTCAAATCGGAGTCGCCGCAGTATGCAACTAATTGCAATTTTGCAACCCAGATTAAATAAAGGATTCGCCCGCGAGTATTCGTGAGCCGACACAGAAAACGGCGAGTGTTACTCGTCATTCTTCGCATCTAGAGTGAGGAAACGTGCATCACTTAAGGAAGCATGATTCTGCCCGAATCTCGCAACGCAATTTTGGCACGATAGAAATCCGATTTTAAGAGCCGAGATGGCTTCGAGTCGACGTTTCAACCTGCGTCCGGCCGGGGGCCTGAGACAATCGCTTTCGACAGGGAAGGGGAAATTTGACTTCCCCTGTGATCTCCAGCTTGCAGACCTGTGTAGGCCTTATCAAATCATGAAGAATGCACACCAAAATTTTGGCCGTAGGCAAAATGTGAGACCACTAGATGTCACGAAAGGAAAAAGGGCCGTTCTGATATTTGCAGTTAAAACATGTTATTACGCCAAGTCGGATATTGAGAGAACGCAAATGAGCGTTAAGACTGGGGAAGTCCAATCCGACCATTTTGCCCACATTGGTCAAGTCAGGTCGGGTCGCCTTCCAAAATTGGTCGGGTTACCTTTCAAAAAAGCTATTGTTCTTGTACGTAGCGTACAAGAACAACAGTTTTTGTTTTCTTTCACAATGCGTTTTTGAAAAGTCTATTCTATTAGGTACAGCCGCGGGGAAAATTTCCAGACACAAAACTACCATTTCATGCTAACCTAGAGGTCAGCTCAGGTTAACTTAGCCCAAATTCATAAACCATCCAAATCCCATAGGTCTTTTATGCATCATACATAGTCTTTTCGACGCCTGGCAATTTATTTGTAAAATCTGAGAACAGGCACGTTGGTACGTGATATCACACGTCATCAGCTCTACAAACACGATATAGGGGTGGTTTAACACGCGTCGCGCTCGTTCCTCTCCTCTTTCGTGCCCCCTCCTCTTTCGGCGACAGAGGTCATTGATCTTGGCCGACCTCATATGAAGTTGTGTGTTCCCACGTGACCCACTGTCACCTCATTCTGCATTATAGAGATATCAGGACATGTTTTCGGTGCAATGTTCGAATTCTGAGCCCAAAATTACATAATAAAACTGCCTGTTTAGAGGTCAGTATGTATTTTGCAGAAGCCGTCCTTAGTGGAGGTCATGACCTGGGCAAGTGTCATGTGTTCTGTGGTCATATGATGGTGTGATATGCAAGTCAGCTGCCCGAAGCAAACACTGGATTAGCACTCTTTTCCTCATACACAAAAGACAAAACTATACAAAGTACATACAAGTTTACAATTTCTTTACGAAAATGGCCACAACTTGGCCAGATCTCAGCTCACCACCAATGTATATTTCAAAAATATGAAATTATCAAACGGTAGGTACCGACATTATCGGTTACCATAAATAGTTTAAGCAATAACAAATGGTCCACAAAAAGTTATGCGTGGTCAAAGTTTTTGAAAGTCGCCATTTTTCCTCGCCTACGCCGCTGACCGGGGCAGATTACACTTTAAAATTTGCAAAAAGATGGCCAACTTAATAGATAAACAAGTAATTAAATTTGATGCTCCGGCAAACGTTCGTTTTTTTCTGAGCTCGAGCGCCCGGCCAGCAGTCCCCTGGCCGGTCGCGGGTTAGTGGCTGGTGGTGCCTAGTGCCAGAAGATTGTTTACTGAGACCAGCTTGTGCATGAAGTTGCAGAGCGGCATCCACTGGTGCGCTCGCATAGCAGGTCAATGATATTGTTTGTGCGACGCTAATCTAAGGACTTACCGAGGTAAAACTTGCTGTCCACCGGGCGCCAACTGCGTATACATCCGCAGTACTCATCGATCTAGAATCGGGTGCGGGATTTCTGACGAAACTAATCTCGTCCCAAGACGTGGCCCACTGTCATACCTCTGGTCTGACATTGATGATAATCCTGTATATATATATATATATATATATATATATATATATATATATATATATATATATATATATATATGGGGGGGGGGTCGGTGGCGTACTGGTCCGTTCACAGGCCGCCAATTGCGGGAGCTCAGATGATGACGTCATGCTGGTTCGTTTACAGGCCGCCAACTGTGGGGAGCTCAGAGTATTGGAGTGAGGACAGACCGACAAATGACATCTATCAAATCCAAGCGAAAGGTACGTGCAATGTATCTGAGGCGTGATGGTAAGTCAATGATCCGTGGACGCACGGATGCTGATCTGTCTTCTTCGCAAACACCCGCCTCTTGGAAATTAACAGCTGACACTGTCTAAGTCATTTGCCGATTTATTGGGTCAAAATGCATCAACACCCGTCGAGCAAAACACGTGTTTTTGAGGCATGGTTTGAAGACTTAGGGTCAAATGAGGTCAATAGATAAAAATGCATATTGGCCGGTACTGTCAACAGAGAATGCGCAGTGTTGAAGCCCTTAATGCGATTTTTCTGCGCGAATTAATGGTGTAATGCATCAACCACGCGCAATGTGCCAGGTTTGTGACAGAAAATATAACCGATATGTGCTAAATAAAGTTCAAGTAAAATCGGGCAAATGAGTGGCACCGATTTTCTGGAAAACTCAACTTGATAAATATGGACGTTTTTGAGACGTTCACGGTAAAGGTGAAAGTTTTTTTTAATACTCGGGATGAAGATGAAAGTTTGTTACATATCCAGGATAAAAGTGGAAGTTGTTTAGACGTCTACGGTTAAGATGAAGCTGTTAATGTGTCCACGATAAAGATGAAGCTTTTGTGATCTCCACGCGTCACAAACGCACGGATTGCCCTTTTGTCGCTGATCCCTCTTGGCCTTCCACCAATGGCGGTGCGCTACGGTGGAACCTGCGCGGCGTGGTGGGGTTAAAAACTGCGGCGGTTGCGGAACGTTGTGTGCCTTCTCGTTTCCTCTAGACAACGAATCAAAATTTCAAAGGAATGTTGGCCACGATTCACTGCACCGTTTTGTTGTTGTTTTTTTTAGAGTTATAACGTACATAACCTGGTCATGTTGCAAAACGGCGGACGCCATATGTGAAAGAAGTTTGGAAGGTGACCAGTTGTTTAGGTTAACGCAACACATCTCGAATAAATATTCGTGAAGTTCCATCGCAACTAAGGAGTAAATACTGAGCAGTCCGAATAGAGTGCAAAGTCCGTTCAATGACCAATCGTCTTCTGAGAGTAATTCAAAGTACGCAGGGTTCCGTAACCACACGCGCCCTGTTGGCGGTCATTCTCCCACGCGGCGAGCACTCGTGCCTCGCCGCGGCCGTGCGACGGTCGCCTTGAGCAGACATTCTGACTTTACCGGACTGTGACTAAACCAGTCATTTGCCGCCCGGTTTTTTGTTGTTTTTTTGTATGCTCGAAGTCTTGTTCTCTTGGTGGTGGATACCCTAGCAATGTTGCGCAATGAGCGCACTAGATAGCGAGCTTCCAGACTCTACCAGATTCCCCCAGATTCTAATACAGCGTTTTCGTGCAGAGTGCTGCGGCCGACAACAAAGTGCATTACTGGAAATGCTTTTGATACTCAGGACGTGTTTCTACTCCTTGTTACCCTTATTGTTTTCTATTTTTTGCAGGCAGAGTAAATTGGAAGTAGTTTACGATGAGCGATTCCATGTAGGACCGAAAATGTCAAGAACTATTACGGGAGAGGGGGTTAACACGCGCCCGGGTAGCCGGCAGGACGACCTTCGCTCGGGTTGGGGGGAGATCAATTAGACCCCCTGAGATCTCAGCAACTAAGAAAGCTAGAGACACCAAATTTACAGGGTGTCTTGATCTGTACGTGAAATGACTTCCGTCAAAGTTTGAGCTTCCTAGATTATGGCCTTCAAGTCAAATAAGGTCAAAGAAGTTCTAATTCCAGGCTGGTCTCCAAGGTGCCCCCAGAACCTAGGCAACCGTTTTTAAGCAAAAGGCCAAAAGCCCATTTAAGGTCAGTGGCCTTGTTTGACCTTTTGAAGGTCATGGTGACCAAGATCATACAAGACTGCACTGAGTTTTGTATTTGAATAAGCGACAAAGGTTACGCTAGGCGGTATGTTCCTACGACAAATTGTCGACCAGGTCATCTTAGGTCAATGACCATATCTGATCTCTTGGAAGTCAATGCAACAGATATAATGCGGTTCCTGCTGTCAATAAATTCGAAATGAGCACCACAAACTGTCACATACAGCAAGCCCTAGAGTAATAAATCAGGCTGGTTGTGACCTCGGTCTGACGTTCATACCTGACCTTAGGTCAAAGTAATTTGCTAATTCAATATTTGCAGTGCCTAAGAAAGCATCTCAGAGATATATGGCTTCGTCAAACACTCTGTTATTGTATCAGATTAGACGATTTCCTAAAAATTGCCTTCGCTGAAACCATGGCCTAACTTTGACCTGCCATAGGCCAGCGACCTTAAAGCGTGCATCTAAATTGTTGATGTCAAACGATTTGCTGTTCAATTGTTTACAGCTATGCAAAATTTGGAGCGGCTACACCGCGCCGTTCGGAAATCATTCCGGAAAAACCTGCCGGGGGGCCAATTTGACCCCCCCCCCCACACCCGTGCGAGTGTTAGAGTTGATGGTGAGCTGTGGAAGGTTTGCCGGCCACACCACATCGGGGGGAGGGAAGGGGGTAGAAAGTGGTTCTTTAAGGCGACGCTCGCATGCGTAGGCCGACATTGATGCGCGTTAAAAAAAAAAACAGGCATCGATCACATTTTTCACTTGGGAACTACATGTGACCGTCTGTGGAGTGGCTGCTGCCTTGTAAATTCATTCCTGATTTTCATTTGAAATCCATATTAGGATTCCGTCACATACCTGAACGAATAGTTGGGTGCAATGACAGTACCGCATTATAAGATTATATCGAAATGGCTGAGTGAACGTCAACGTTTCCCAGTAATATCCTCTGTTAGCAGATTATCATGAGAACTCGGTATGGACAGGCTATGGATTTTGAGTAACAGGAAACTCTGGGAATGCTAGGACGTAAAGTAGAAGGTTTTAAAACCAGAATAATCTGCGTCCATTACCTTCTTGTTTGTTCCCATGAAGTCTCGCTCTCGGCATGACTGGAATAATTAGATTTGTCGTTAGTGCTGTAAGTTCTTACACATAACACTGGTCAAATCGCACTGCTTAATTACCACCCGTACTTTCGCACTCCTGTCTATTATGTGGTCGATCATGGCGGATGAACTTCTTGCATCGGTCACCGTTATTATCAAAGTAATGAACATGCTGATACCATCATTGTGAACGGCAATGCCGCCGCCGGCTTAAGTGCTTTCACAAGATTTCCCATAATTCGTTGTTAGTGGCTGCTCAAAGAAAACACCCTGCGGAAAATATCAGGCCATGGTACGAATGGCCACAATAGTGGTGGCAATTTTCGATGCCGGAAAAAGATTGGATGTTTCCGATTAGTACTGGGACATGACTGCCAGCTGAGGTCCTAAAATTGGTTCAGTACCGGAACTTTGGTCGATTGCAAAATCACTTCACACGGAGCCTGACAGTCATGACTCAGATGAAACCAGAAAGTATGCTTTCACGCCGTTAGAAAAGGCTCATTTCGAGCGTCCAATGCCATAAATTCCAGTTATCGATGACTTTATGATGGATGTAAATGACAACGGCAAAAAAGATGATGAATGAAAGCAACGAGAACCGTCATCAATGGCAGCAAAGACCAGAGCACGGGACACGGGATGAAATCAATGTTAGCTCGTCTTTGCGCTTAAGTGATCAGTTTGGATATAAATGAGGATGCGTTGGAAATGCTGGCAAAGACCCTGAACGTTGAATTGTGCAATATGACCTGCACCATGAAACGAGAAGACAGTCCTGAATACGAGCAGACATCCATATGCCGTGGACTTAACGTGATCGGATCTAGATAAGACAGTAGTTGACAGTGGATGCCTTATTCTGCGGAGAAAACCAAGAGAATGGAGAAATATATTGACTGATATTTCGGCAACATGCCTTGATCGCAGCAACACCAGACGTGAATTTATAATTGCTTGCCGATGATTCCACTCTTTTTCTTTTCTTTTTTGAAACAGCAGGTCAGTTTTCACAGGACACCACCATTCCGGGGATTAAGCAAAGAGTGATAGCCAGCCATTACTACGATACAGGGCATGTCTAAGAATTAGAATTGAATCCAGACTATTGCTTCTATAAAGGTGTGTTGCCGAATTATCAACCAATCTAGTTCTCCACTCTCCTGGTTACCTCCGAGGAATAAAGCCATCGCAACCGTTTTTTTCATGTGAACAATGTTCCTCGCGAATGCACTGAATAACTTACGTAATCGGATCTAACCTTATCTACCGTTGCCGAACATTTGATTGGCTGAGTTTTTAATCGAGCTTTTTGAATGGACTGGCTCTAACTTTGTATACTTACCTAAAAGTGCTGGAGATAGAGATTTGCCCTGCAGTGCACTTTTTGTGTTGTGTAGTGCAATGGAGGTAAATGTGATCTGGTTAATGGAGAAGATTGAAGTGTGCAAGAATGACAAATCCCGCGTTGCTTTTATGCGCGGTGGACAAGACCACTCAACGTTTCAACCCAGTTAGTGGCATGATAACACATGAGCGAGAGAATGAAAGCAGTACACAAGGCATGAGCGAAAATTCGGTTAAAATACGGTGGTGCAATGGACGTGCGGTTAAGAATACACATGACAAAATCAAGCGGTGAAAGTGGGGTAACTATCGCATCAAAGGCTGTTGACCTGGGCGACGTGAAAAACACTGGCATCTGATGATATTTTGGGAAGCGAACAATAACTTATGGATAGCCAGAATGCCGCAATATATATATATATATATATATATATATATATACATATATTTGGCCAGCTATGACAACAACGCCCACATGGCGGGTCTGCTTATAATTATCCCAATGTTTATTTTAATGTCCCACATATTTTCCTGTGGGCAAGGTGTACTGCCCCGGAGAACTCGAGGTAGCTGCAGTGTTCAACAGCGATATAGAGTTCTGGGGACCGCACAAGGTATGCAGTGTTTCAGCCTACCCCCAACACCCTACCCTCCCTTCCCTGTACAACGATCGGTAGCTGGGATAGATACACTTCTGCCGGTGATCAGCTGACCACCGCGACGAGACAACAGCTGGCGGCGCGGGCGCGGGCGTCGCAGTGGTACGGGGGGGGGGGGGGGCGCCCTTTAGATGTCAATCCGGTCACGTCCGACGGACGGTGGTATCTTTCTTGTGTGCTTCCGCCAGCATGCGTGCGGTACGTTTGGTTTGTACATTCCGACTAGGCCACTGTTAACGTTACGATAACGATAGCGGATACGATATGCTGTGCTTGTTAAATGCGACACATACGAAGGTGATGCGCTTGCAGACCGTTCATAGTTCCAGTATTCTCTGTGCCTTTTGTCTTCCACCCGGCGAAAGGCGGTGAATCTCTGGCCGCCGGTGAGCAATGCTCAGCTGACTGCCCACCCTCATCTGTCGCCAGATCGTGCGCATGTTCATCATAGTGGTGGCCATGTTTGCCCTGTCCTGGTTGCCGTATCAGGTGTACTTCGTGTACACTTACCACGACACGTCTCTGGCGAAGACCAGCTATGTGCAGGTGAGTGTTTCTACGATGCTTTATTGAGTATTTTTACTTGAAACTCAGTCTCTCGTCTGTACACAAATAAGTAAGGTGCTACATGCTATGCTTATTAGCGTTTATTCCTTCTTTGTACTTGACTCCTCGGGCACCTCTAGCCCAAGATGTAAAACATGATGTGAACTGGTATGTGCACGCATAACTTATTCAGGAAAATATCCCAACTATGGCTTGAATGAACAAAGTTGGACAAGATAACTATGGCATTTCTCGACAGTTTCTGCAAAAGTGCGTTCTTTACTGGCATTGGGACGCCTAAACATCATGTTTGTTTGTTTCGTTGTTTTTGCCTTGGCTAGTACTTCGTTTATTTCAAAAGCAAAGCAGTATGACATAGAGATGTGAATTTACTAGCTGACCAGTTGGCGCCTTTTTTATAGATTTATAACTAGGGAACATCAAGAATGTCAGTATATGTGTACGAGGAACATAGGGCTTAAGGCAACGCTTTGAATTTTGTATTGCGTATTATGAACACCACCATTGCATGCCCCGAGTCAGTCTATGCAGCAGGTCATTTCAAATTGCAAAGCGTACTTTATTCCATCGAATTTTTGGGACTATCGAAGGTTGGGGAATAGGCAGATGAATTGAAGCTGATCACTGTATAGAAATCGGCATCGTTTTAGCAAATTCATTGCCAACTGGCAAAACCCCAATTGGTAAACGTCATCCCATAGGTCCTGTGTTGTAGCTTCGTCTCGGCTTAAGTTAGTGCTTCTTTCATATTGAAAGAGGCCTGACTGACCAGACCTGTGTCTGACTCGCGACTGCTTGTCGCGTACCAAGTAGCCACTTCGGATGAGTGCAGGGAGTTACGCGCATCTCGGCTGGGGCTACTGGCCCCAGTAGCGTTGAATTGGGTGGTTAAATATAAAATGTAACTAAAAATGTTTTTTCGGAGGACTATGTGTTCAATGAAAATCACGTTCATCCACAAAGACCTTTGGTGTGTCGTTTTGGAAAACCACAGGTGAAAGTGTCAGAGGCTGCAGGTCGTCTCCTTTGTGCAGGTGCACTGTCTCGGCTCTCTTTCTTAGTCAGGTGAAGTTAGTGCTGGCTGCGTTTGGACCTTGTATGGGATCAGACGGAGTTTTTCAAGATTCCGTGGGTTACCGACTTGGAGGTGCCTAGGCGTTGTTTGAGCGAGGACTCGAGGTTTTCGGCTCGCTGATGACGCCCCGTAAGAGGCTTTCTTTTCGGTCCGACCCGCGGATGGGACAGGCAGACTGACACCTGCATCGGCTGGGTACAGGCCCGTGAGTCAAAGTTCATCTCCGACTGGAGCATTGGTTTTAAGAGTCCGAGTGACGCGTCTTCAATGAGAGCTTGTCTCGATACAGATTTGATTCTGTGTGCTTTACTTCATGATTATCTAGGTGATGATGCAAAATGTGCTCACCAACAATGTCTACATCTATATCTGTATCTATACCTATATCTATGTCTATATTTGTTGTACCGTTAAGAGATAGCAATATCTATATCTGTATAGTATCTTCTATGGTTTTTATTTCATTTAATGTGCCAAATGTTGCCTACGCTTTTTGCAGACGACTTTTCTTCAGAAAAGCGTGGCACCTTTCCAAGCGACCCCCTGTATTCATCGCGCGTCTCGGGGGATTGCTGAAATGTGGCTGTCTGCCCTGCGCCGGAAACAGTTGTTGCTCGGCTGAATGCTTAAATGTAGTTTTGTTGTACCGTTAATAGAAAACTTTTTATGGATTCACAAAGCGTGTTTTTATGAACGTAATCCTTGTTCATAGAGAGGTTTTAATGTCATATATTTGCTGATATCACGCACCCATTGCATGTGCAGTGCATTGTGTCGTCTCACACGGCTTACGCCACGGAGAAAATTGGCAAGGGAGGCGGAGCTCTTTCCGGTCCGTTCTTGGTCAGCGCGTGATGGTTGAAACTCGTATGTTTTTGGTTGCGTTAGCTCAAATTTTACGACCTAGGCTGAATCTACGGGTGGTTCAAACTTTGTGACCAATTGTGGCGCAGTTTTCAAATGTGCTTTTCCTCCGAAGAAATTCATATTGTATGCTGTTTCACAAATACTTATTTATGTCTTAGATGTGTCCATCTTGACTTGACTAATAGATGTCAGCAGTTCTGCGCAGCGCCAGGACATGACCATGTCTTGAACGCCATGATGTGTATAGATGGTGTGGATGGTATGGACGTTTGCTGCGCTTGAAGCTGAACATGGCCCAGCTGTGACTCGCAGTGTTTTGCGTTTGTCAGTTGGGGTGTGGAAAACAGTGCTATATGGTATGCGCAATGATCGCCGAGCAAAAAGCAGCGGATGGAAGTGGGAACAAACACGCAATTGATGATCAACAGGTTCGTCACGCTGTGAAACACGCGTGGTCTTAAGGCGCGTGTTTACGTCCCTTTCAGCACCTGTTCCTGGCTTTCTACTGGCTGGCCATGTCCTACGCCATGGTGAACCCATTGATATACTTCTGGATGAATCGGAGGTGAGTCTGGAGGCCGAGTGACGCCATCCACCCCCTCCTCTCCCCCTCCCCCCGCCCATTCTCCTAACTTTTTGACCCAACGCCCGAGCTGAGGAGTCAGACCAAATGCATACTGTGACTGAGTGGCGTCAGCGGGGTTCATTCCCCTGGGGGCGGGGAGATCAACGACCTAGGGATGTAGTGCTACTCTGTGGATAAGGGAGGGGCACAAATTGCGTAGAAGAGGTAGGCTTCTCTCCCGGAGAACGGAACGCCCGTACCCAAGTTTTCGTACAAATCGCGAAACGGCGCGTACGACAGCCAACGTAAGCCTGCCAAGCGTTGGCATGAAAGCTGTTCGGAGAGTGCTATTATAGAACGGAAAAGTGAGCATACAACGATACAGACCAGCTACTACGGGTCAGCCATGTCCGGAAAACCGGCGGATGTTAACGGAGAGGAACAGTTGTCACGAGAAAGCACTGAACAAAGTAGACAGCCATACCATTATTGGATATATGTGCATGTAGGCCTTGCCACTTGTCCATGAGCCCCTCGTCCAGCTTCTGTTGATCACTTTGCAGTCTAAAGCAACCGGAACAGCAGTCCACGCGAGCACGTTCAGTGCGGGTAGTGTGCGAGCTTTGTCAGTATCTCATTAGTCAATAGGCTAAAGAGACGAGCGTTGGGCCCGTCTCCCGTTTCCGACGTCCATCCGGCCGGAGTATTTTAACCCCACTGAGTCCATAGGCCAAAGAGACGAGCGTTGGACTCGTCTCCTGTTTCTGACACTCAGACAGCCCGGGTATTTTAACCCACTGAGTCCATAGGCTAAAAAACGAGCGTTGGACGTGTCTCCTGTTCCTGACGCTCAGACAGCCTGGTTATTAACCCCACAGAAGTTGCACAGCAGCTTCTCCATTACTGAAACACTCGTTCTGCGCGGTGCCCTGCCGGCCACGATCCGGCTTCGAGAGTCCCTGCTCCCGAGAGCACTTCAGCCGGAATATGCGGCTGCACGACCGGTCTCCACAGGGGCGACAGACCCATGGCGGCGAACCCGCTGCTGACTATTCGCAGAGGCCTGAGCCGCAGATTGCGAACCTCGGCAAGACGGAAGCCCGCGAGGACGCACGGTCAGCACCGTCAGCCTAACGGCACGGGGGCAGCGCGCCGCCAGGGCCAAACTAACTCTTGGACTCGGACTCGGCCTGGGACTGGGACTGGGACTGGGACTGGGACTGGGACTGGGACTGGGACTGGGACTCGGACTCGGACTCTCGAACTCGGACTCGGACTCGGACTCGGACCCGGACTCTGGTTCGGACTCTAGGTCTAGGACTCGGACTCGGTATCGACTGGTCTCGCCGCTCGGCCTATGCGGTTAAGCGGGGTTGCGCAGCGGGTTTGAGCTGCTCTACACTGATCATCGCTCGGGTAACGTGCCGCCCTGCGTGCCCCACGGTGTCAGGTTTGATTAGCGGGCTCTGGGTCCACTGCGGCGCTTCCACATGCGTGCTTCGTTTGGTTTGTGAGCCGTGTGTTCTCTCGTGGACGTCATCATCCGCTGAGGACCGCGCTTATCTTTCAGAGCGGAGAATGGGCGAAAGACGATGCGAAAGTTCGCTTTGTTGTTGCCTAGTGAAGCTGTTGACGATAAGTTGGTGATGTCCTCCTGGAAGCTGGCGGTGTTGTAGTAAAATAATTTGCTTGTGTAGAAGCAAGCATCAAGTTTCGTTCACCCACATGTTCGATGCATGTTTGGTACTGCACTTCTCCGTCTGTGTGGCGGTATCGGAGACTGAAGAAACGTGACATGAGTCACCAAGCCGACGACGTAGCATTGCGCATCAAGGACCTCGCTTGCATTACGCGACTCGTTTTGGCCATCTTCAAAGCATTTTGTGAGGGATTTTTCTGACGCACGTCCTTTGTAGCTGTCGGCAGCATTAAAATCCGGGAATGGATTCCTTGAAAACATGTGGAAGGGTTCAGAAATCTAGGCTTGGTACGCCTCATGAATAATTCGCCTTGAGCTCAACACGTGTTTCGTCAGTCCCTGTGCAGAGCGTAGTGCGAATCAATGCAATATTATCTGACTAGCACTCTCAAAATGCAATAGTCGTAAATCATGGTTCATGGTTCATGGTTCAATCATGGTTCAATATGGTTCATGGCCTCAAAGTCATTTACCTTACTCGCACACATGCTTTGCGCTAGATTGGTCTCGAGCTTAAATGTCCTAACTGCGCTGAAAGCATGAGTATCACATGCCCTCCAGGCGGTCTGTGCCTCTTCCATGACCACTTACGCATATGGACGTCATTGGTTTCTTCGCTTCTCATTTGTGTTGGATTCCCAGTAGTGTAGACGGCGCCGAAGTTCAACAAGCGTTCTCGAACTCATTACATACGGCTCTTCAGTCATGAATGACCAAACGACTTTGGGGACCTCCCCAGCTAATATCCGTTCCGTACCTTCTCCCCGTGGACAAATCCAACTAGAACTTTGCCTACGTCAGGCGGCTCAGTGTCACGACGTGGGAAAGGAACATGACTTGCTATGAAGGAATGGCGAGCACACTCAGAAGCATTTCAGGACATTGTGTGGGCTCCGATTAGTCTCCGCAGGTCTGAAAACAGCCACGAGCCTCAAGCCTATGGGAACGCTTTTTAAATTCCTTTTCAGTGTTTGTGAGTACCTCGAGCGATGTCGAAACCATCTTCGAGACCTTCATTGACACCACTTCCACCGCAACAGAAAATGCTCGCGAGGACCTTGCATGGTCGTATGAACTGCCTTCTAACCTTCTCCGAAACCCTTGCGAATCTCTTGAGCTCGTCCAGAGACCTTTTTGAGACCCTCGGGGCTCAGCCGACCGTTCCCATCTTTGAGACCCTCGGGGCTCAGCCGACCGTTCCCATCTTTGAGACCCTCGAGGCTCAGCCGACCGTTCCCATCTTTGAGACCCACGGGGCTCAGCCGACCGTTCCTATCTGCTTGAAGGCCTGCAGCGCTGTGACTGAAATGAGCCGTAGCGGTTCCTGGTATGCTGGCTTGATGGGCTGTGCCAAGACGCTATCGATGACGATGACGATGACTATCGATGGCGGTCCATATCAAGACGACGTCTGACAGGGATGTCGTCTTGGTGTCGTTTACACGTGTTGTCTTCATATGTAGACGACATCATACATAAGCGGATGTCGTCTTGATGTCGTCTAAATATGTTGTTTACATATTTAGACATTATGCATAAGCGGATGTTGTCTTGATGTCGTCTAAATATGTTGTCTACATATTTAGATATTATGCATAAGCGTATGTCGTCTTGATGTCGTCTACGTATGTCGCCCACATATATAGACAGCATCATACATAGGCGGACATGGGTTTTATGTCGTCTACATATAGAGACGGCATCCGCGTCGCGCTCCACGAAAACTGCCCTCTCCGAGATGGATTTACAGGAATGTACACAAGAATTCGCAGTGGGGGGAGGCGTATTCATCGCCAACTTGTCCAAGGTTAACAATTTGGCTAGCATGCATGCAAATGCACGCAGGTTATGAGTAGACATGCCAGAACATGCCTGCTTATTGACTGGAAGGGTACGTGGATAGGGCGTGGGAGTTCATTAGAGATTCGGCGGATGATGTCTCAGGATGTCTGGATCAGGTGTGTGGGTCGGCAAAATAAGCTAAGAGAGAACCTAAGCGGGTTAAGGCGGCCAAACCTACCCCAACATCTATTAAAAATCCGGGGGAAAGCTTTTTCGAAGATTTGACCCACATTACGCTCTAATCTGAAAGGACTGGAGATAAAGGGCTTCGTTTAGTCAACCACAGTCCCAAGTCTCACCCGGTTTCATCCGATCCCATCAGGTCTTGTCCAGTTTTATCCGGTACCGTTCAGTACCGTCCAGTCCCGTCTAGATACCCATTCGGTGCCCTCTGACCTCTACAACGTTTCATTCCGTTTGTCTGATCCCGTTCTGCAGCGCCCGGCTCCATTCGGTCACGTTCGGTGCCGTTAAACTCCGTCTGACCCCGTCCGGTCACGTCTGGCCCCGTCTGGTTCCGTCCGGCCCCATCCTGTCCCGTCTGCGTCAGCCCCGTCTGGCCCAGTTGTATTTCGTGCATTTCCGTCCAGCCATGTCTGGTGTTGTCCCATCCCGTTTGATGTCATATGGTCTTGTCGGGTTCCATCCGGTCGTAGCCGGCCCCATCTGGCCCCATAAAGTCTCACCTGGCTCCATCCGGTCGTGGCCAGCCCCATCTGCCCCCATAAAGTCTCACCTGGCTCCATCCGGTCGTGGCCAGCCCCATCTGCCCCCATAAAGTCTCACCTGGTTCCATCCGGTCGTGGCCGGCCCCATCTGGCCTCGTAAGGTCTTACCTAGTTCCATCCGGTCGTGGCCAGCCCCATCTGGCCCCATAAAGTCTTACCTGGTCCCATCCGGTTCGGGTCAGTCTGATCTTGTCCTAACCCGTCGCAACTGCTTAGTTTAGTTCCGTCCTACCTCGCGAGACTTTACCCGGTTCTGTCCGATCCGTTCCGGTTCCATCCGGTGCCATGTGAGCCCGTTCTGTCCCGCCCAACTATTTTCGGTCACCATCCTTCGGTCACCATCCGTCTGCCAGGGGCCGTACGTGTGACGGAAAGCGCCCAGATGCCAGCACTGACTTGCCAGGGCTAGACACGCATATAATATTCACCAAGTTGGCAGTGATTCATTGGTTATGCGACGCCATCGTACAATCAGTTAAACGTGTTGGCGACCTTCACTATCTTTCGATAATCAACGGTTTCGCCGACGTAGACCTCACATTAACACGGTGTCAGCCAAGTGAATTTAGAACGGAATCCATGCAATATTAGTATCAGCAGATGCGCACGATCTTTTTGAACTTGTTCGCACCTCATTCAGATCGATGTACGATGTGAGGACAATAAAAGACGTTTTATCTCACACCTGTCAACTTGTCGGTTCCCTAAATCTGCAGTGTGGAGGCGATGTGCGACGCCTGCGCGGGCGATGCTGGAGATTGCTGGATAAGTCAGGAAAGGGGCTGAGCATGGGAAAATGGCTAGTCCTACTCCTCAAAATACACTTAAACATCGAGTGTCCCCCAGGAGTTGAACCCCTTCCTTCACAAGGTGGAGGGGAGGAGGCCTGGGCCCACAAATGATAGCGAATTGCCTCTTGGAAAGCACTACCGAAACGCATTGATATTTGAAGAAAATGTACGTACACAAACCTCATAATGTGGACTGTCTTGCGAAATGCATCAGATATTGCTGGTGCGGTTCATTTAACAGAAGTGAATTCTGCTATTCGCTTTGATAAATGCATGTTGCCGAAATATCAACGCATCCATGTTTCCATTCTCCTGGTTTTTCTCCGAGGAGAAAGGTTATTTCTATCGTCTTATCCATATAAATCATGTTCCTCACACATGCATTTAACAACTTACGTAATCTCGCACCAAGTTTCTTAAAACAGCCGAAGTTATGCAATAACGTCAGGGCACCGAAGCACCCACAATAAGGGCCGTGTGGCTTCGTAACTGACGTTTCGCTGTTGCGCTGCCTTGCACACCAGGGTCATATCACAATAGCTGGAACGTTTTAGAGCTGAAGTCAGGTCATTTGAAGGCAAGCGCTTCGAAACGTCCTTGACAATGTCAGAAAGCTCCCTTTTCTAATCAAGCGCTGTTTTTTCTGGGTCTCTTGAACGCAACCATTTGATCAGTTTGATGAGCCTGTCTGTTGTCTTAGTCAGTCCTCTTGGCCTTCCCGTCCTGCTTTTCGCCGTGGAAGTGGGGGGGGGGACCTGGCGTCAGCTTATTCATGCCTATCTGACCTTTGTGAATGTGGCCAGTTATCTGCCTGTACACATTCGTATGTCCTGTAGGCAGTCTTTATTCGAACCAGTGCAGTATCCTCAGAATACTCTCCTGCAATTTTTCGGCTGGTTTGAAAATTTCCCGCCAATTTCCCGCCAATTTCTTGACTGCACAGTAGAATGAATAAGCCTCAGACTGCAGTGTCATCCTAATAGCACTTTCTGGAAAGAAATCCTCCATAGCGGAGGTGGGCTACAGTTATTTATGTTACGCATGAAATCATCAAAAACTGGCGCAAAATGAACCATAATTTGTGTACTTTCATCCTTCTGATATACTACTCGCGCGTTACGCGCACGGCTAACGACTCGAGACTTTTTGCGGATGTTACTAATCAAGGAAAAAGAAACAGGGTTCCTTGTTAAGAGTTTTAAATCCTTCCTTTCTTAGACGTAGTCAGGATCGGTTAAAAACGCTGTTACATGAAGAGCTGCCGAATTAGCTTACACTCTTTTTGTCAGAATTTCCCCATCCCTGTTGACCAGTGCCGCCATTTTGCAGGTTCCGTTCGTACCTGGTGCTGTGGTGCCGTTGCGCCCTGTTTCGTCGGAGGGCTGGACTACGCCAAAACGGTCGTCTCGCGGGTGGACTCTGTCGTGGTGCTGACAGGTGAGGAGCGGATAAGCGGCACGAGCTGGCTAGTTGAACATGGCTCGGATAGTGGATATAATATCTGATATGATAGTTCAA